CAGCGGCGCTGGAGGACCGGGCTCCCGGCCTCGCCACGCTGGAGGGGGCGGGATGCGAGGGGACCGCAGTCGCTGCCTGTTGCTAGGGGTTCGGTCCCTCCTCGGGGCTCCGCGCTCCTTCTGGGAAGAGTTGTGTGAATTCATGGGCCCGGAGCCTGGCTGCTCTCGGTCCCTTTAGCTTTGACCCGCCCCTAGACGGAGCTGAAGTGGTTCCTGAAGTGATGCCGCCAGTGATGGGCGTGTCTGGGAGCCATTCCCCGAGGGTAGGGTTTGGGAGAGAATTCACTGATTTACAGGAATTTGAATGGAGTGAGTGAAGGTTGGAGTAGGGCCGAGAAACCATCCAGAAATTCATGGAATCCCTTAGCTCTACCACTAGTGGTGAGATAGCAGGTGTCGTGTTTATTTTCTGTGTAGTAAGTGGTCCCTAACTAATTGGCAGTGTTGTTAAATACAGTTATTTCTGGATTCGTCTTTGTTTCTTTAACAATATCTACTTGGTTCCAGACTCTGTGCAAGACATTGGGCATATAGGACTGACGACAAATTTTGAGAGACTTTGTGATCTCGTGGGAAATGCAGACAAGTGATGGTCAGTATTGCCCTATTTTAGAGGAGGTATAGCAGTGGTTCTCAACCTGTGGGTCGCGCCCCCTTTGGGGGTCCAAGGACCCTTTCACAGGGGTCGCCTAAAACCATCGGAAAACACATATATAATTACATATTGTTTTTGTGATTAATCACTGTGCTTTAATTATGTTCAATTTGTAACAATGAAATTGGGGGTCACCACAACATGAGGAATTGTATTAAAGGGACGCAGCATTAGGAAGGTTGAGAACCACTGACGTAAAGGGACCATACACCTGGGTCAGGGGTAGTCTTCCTAAGAAAATGATTTAGGCTGAGACATGAGGAGGAGGGGTAAGCCAGGGGCGAGGACCGCCCTGGGGCTAGGAGGAGGGAAGGGAGTGAGTCTGGAGAGGGAATCGCATTGAAAAAGTGGGAAGATCAGTAAGGCTAGAGTACAAAGTTCAAGGGGATGCACACAATGAGGAGGAAACTGGTCTTGCAAGGCTGTCAGGCCATAAAAACTGAACAATGCACTGCCCTGGAGGGTGGGGGGAGGTCATTATCCCTGGCCCCCAGGACAGATAATCGGATTTGGCCTGGGGACCCCCAACACCTGGGGGCCTTCCTATAAGCCCACGAAATGGGGCGGAACCATATCTGCAAGACAAAGACCCCAGAAGGTTATAAAACATGAAGCCCTGTGCGTGTTTCTTCGCTCTGATTTGGAAATTATTCCCCAGAGTCCACTAGTGTTAATAAACGGTGTCCCTCCCTTTCTCTAGGAAGTGTGCTTGGTATTTCTTTGGTCTTCTGCAACAAGACAGGAGATTTATTCACTTCCAATGCAGAGAGCCTTACAAGGTGTTTTAAGGAGTTGAGACTATTACTAAGGGTGATGGGAAGCCATCGGAGGGTTTTACATAGCAGAGTGATGTGACAAATTTTGGTTTTAAAGAGGACACATCTTGCAGAGAAGGGCGAGAGTGGATACAGGTCAAGTAGGAGATGACGGTGACCAGAAGTGGGACCGTGACCTTGGACAGTGGGAACGTGTAAGACGTGTGCAGGAAGAAGAGTGGTCAGTATGGGGGAAGGATTCAGTGTGGGCGGTGAAGGAGAGAGGAGGCTCCGAGTAGCATAAAACAGACTCGGGCCCATCAGGTTTCCCATGCGCTCCATTTTTATCTGCCTCTCAAGGAATTCTCCAGTGATGGCTGCCAATTGGAAGGGATTGCAATGCTTTGTTGTTTACTCTCTGATCCAGGCTAATTGTCGTTTGAAGAATATCAGGTTAGGGAAAAGACTTTTGTAAATTAGCCACTTAAAAGCAGTATTCTGCCATGTTGATTTTAGTCCATAATAGTGGCTGCATATATTCCATTATATGGATGTGCTGTACTTTATTTACCTGTTTACTTTTTTTTCGCGATTTTTACTTCTATTAATGCAGAATCGAGCTAATGCTTTTAAGTGTATCAGGTAGATTAATATGTGTATACGTAGGGGGAGATAATACTTGAAGACATGGAAATAGATGAGATTGCTCGTAGAAAATATGTAGTAGGAAAAAAGTCTAGGCGTGGGATTGAATGTCCGAAGGTAGGATTGAGAAGAGATGAGAAGCAGAGATCAATTTAGGAAGAAAATCTGGAGACTGGCCTTTGGAAGCTAAAGGAAGGACAGGTTTCAGGAGGTGAGAGGAGTCAACAGAGTCAAAGGTTGTTCAAAGAATGTGGAGCATATGAGTGAAAAGTACCCATTGAATTTGTCAATGTAAGAAACATTAAAACCTGTAGAGAATTTTTGTGAGTTTATTTCAACCAAATTGTCGGCAATTGCTGGGAAGCAAATCTCAACGGATTGAGAAGATGCTCCGGAAAATGGCAGTCTTGCATCTTTTTTTATACATTACACTCAAAAGAGAAGACATAAGTGGGTTACATGAAATCTGTTGGTGTTAGATTAGGGAAGGAAGAGAAAGCAAAGTGGTGAAACCTCTGGGATTGGATAAAAAGTAAAATGAGCCGTAACCGGTTTGGCTCAGTGGATAGAGTGTCGGCCTGCGGACTGAAAGGTCCCGGGTTCGATTCTGGTCAAGGGCATGTACCTTGGTTGCGGGCACATCTCCAGTAGGGAGTGTGCAGGAGGCAGCTGATCGATGTTTCTAACTCTCTATCTTTCTCCCTTCCTCTCTGTAAAAAATCAATAAAATATATTATAAAAAAAAAAGTAAAATGATAGACACATAATTCTTTTGCATAGGGGGGTACAGGATAGTTAACAGTCAACAATTAACTCAGTAACAATAAGAGGGTTTGTGGTCTCCACTCTGTGCTTTGAGGTGTCTGCAAAAAGGAAATTAGTTTGACATTCCAAAGGTATGTTATCATAGATGCAAAAAGACAATAGACGGGGTTAGTTAAGATGAAAATTGACCTTTGTTGGGGAAGATTCCAGCCTGGGACTTGACTACCCCACTATAAACTGCTTTTAGTTCAAAAGTTTTAATTTCAGACCATCCTCTATGGTTACTTTAGGTCTCTGAGTCTGTAAGGCCACCATGCAGGCAGGCCTCCCTGAGCTGGTGAGGTTTAGTATGTGGCTCCTTTTCCTCCAAAGATTTAGGAATTTACTGGCCATTTTAGTACTCGGCAGAGCAGTTTATTGTGGGGTGGGAACCACAGTTTAGTGATGTGAAAAGTGAAACAATCAAATATTAGTTGTCGAAAGTACAGAAGATTGAATTTAGAAGAGGAGATGGGAATGAGTGAAGATTGTTGTTTCGGGGTGTGTTTTGTTTTGGTGTTGTTTCTGAAAAGAGCCTTGCAAATGTTTAAGTTCTGATGAATAAGAGAAGAGTGGGAGTTTGAAGAAAGAGAAGAGTCTGAAGTTGTGGAAGAGGCAGAGGGGACGGGATACAGAGCATGTCAGAGGTTTCGCCTCCGATCGGGAAGGGACACCCTTCTTTCCTTGTATTAGGAGATGTAGGTAGAGGTGGGTTTGTGGTGTTGGAAACTTAAGTGAAATCCCTTCTGATTATTCTGTTGGAGACAAAGTCATCTGGTGAGAATGCAGTCAGAGATTGAGAATAGGGAAGAGAGGTTTGGAAAATCACAGAAGGGAGAGAGTTTTGACCAGGGAACCAGGGAAGGATGCTTATGGTTGAGTGGTAACCATTTCGCCTAGTGTGTGATCTTTTTTCCTTTAGCAGTGTTCAGTCATCTGAGTCCAGACTGTACCATCCACCCTTTGAGAATATATATTCCAATGTATTTGCTGAATGATTGTATTGCACAGAGAAATAATGTTAAAAAGTGCAATGCTGTCTATATTTTATCAGTTTCTCATACTTAAATAAAAGATAAAACCAAAATTTACTAGTGGAAGATATTTTCTGTAGATGTGTGTAGAATCTTAAGAAATTATTGAATGAAAATATAATTGAGGAAAATCAGTTACAACTTATTTAATTAAATCAATTTAGCTTTAAAAAATCTACTTGTTGAACATATAGAAGTAAAATCCTATATAATAAAGCCTAATATGCTAAGTGTCCAGTCGACCGGTTGGCCGTTCAAGCAATCAAAGCGTAATATGCTAATGATATACTAAGGTCGCTCAGCTGCTCACTATGCTGTGCACTGACCACCAGGGGGCAGACGCTCCGACCAGTAGGTTAGCTTGCTGCTGGGGTTCAGCCAATCAGGACTGAGTGAGATGGGCCGGACAGGCCCTGGAGCCCTCCCCTGGTCCCTCCCGTGCTGGCCAACCTCCTTTTCCCTCCCTGGCCCTTATGGTGCACGGGTGGGGTCCCTCGGCCTGGCCTGCACCCTCTCACAATCAGGACCCCTCGTGGGATGTTGGAGAGCCGGTTTCAGCCCAATCCCGCAGGCCAGGCCTAGGGACCCCACTGGTGCATGAATTCGTTGGTAATACTTCCAGACACCCTAAGGTGCTCGCTCAGTGACATTCTTCTCCAGTCAAATGGATAATTAAGGGTTCATTCCAGGTTATCTCATGTTTCTGTTGGGTCTGTTTTTAGTGTCCTGCTTTTAAGAAGGAAAGTATAAATAAGTCCTGGCCGGTGTGACTCGGTTGGGTGTTGTCCCATGCACTGAGGGGTTGCTGGTTCAGCTGGATCCCCATTGTGGGGCATATGGGAGGCAGCCAACCCATGTTTGCTCTGACATAGATGTTTCTCTCTCCCTTTCGCTTCCTCTCTCTCCAAAACAAACAAACAAAAACACAAAAAGAAAAGAAAGAAACTATAAATAAGCTGATCACAAACTAGTTACTTTTTGAGTTTTTATCTGGTTGAGTTCTCTGTGGATATTCAGTGTGGCCATGAGCCAGTGCATCAGTTCTTCTGAAACAGTATACTAGAAAAATCAAAGAATTCCCTAGTTAGACCATTTTGTGACCACTGTCAAGTTTTAAGTGCATCTTGTGTGGCACTTAAAGTTGAAATAATTATCTGGCCCGTCAACAAATAATCCTTATGATAACTTTTTGTTCTTTCTTTATTGATTAAGGTATTACATATGTGTCCTTATCCCCCCATTGCCCGCCCCCCCCCCCCCCCCCCCCCCTTCTTATACTCTACAGTAAATACAACATTCCAACTTTTCAATTTTGACTGCAAAGGTCAGGAATTGGTTTGCTACAGAGATAATACTTAGATTTGGAAAGTAGGTTTGATAATCATAGTAATTTAGTAGAGGTAAATGTACAAGGAGAATTATGGGTCAGCTTTTGGGACTGAATAACTTTAATAGTTAAACTTTGCTTCTAGAAAGTTTGTTAAACAATGTAAAGATTAAGATTTTATTGCATTTTAGAACTGCCTTGTAAAAATATGTAGAGGGTTTTAGGCAGGTAGCAATGACTGCTGTTATTGGATACTGGTACTTTCCAAATTGGAGATAATGATGAAGTCCCTCATTCTATTTAAGATCTGAGTAGCTTTTCATTGTGCCAAACCTATCTGCTACAATCTAAGCTAAGCTGAACGTCTTACATTTGCATGTTGTTGAAAAAAAGAGATATTGGATAAGAATTAACTAGGCAAATTTCTCACCACTTCTGGAAAAAGTTTCATTGATATTCATTTAGTCATACAATCCTAGTATATGATGAGTGGAGAGCACAGCCTTTTTGGTTTGGATAAACTGCTGAATTTTTCAGCCAGAGACAGTTACCATTAAGATACTTGCAAGTCACATTTTAAACTGGGTTTCAGAATAAGCTTTATTTCTCACTTATTCATTATTTTTAATGAAGAAGCTACATGTGAAAGATAAATTATATAAAAGTAACATTGAAATATTTTTTTCTTCTTTTTAGATCACTAAACAAAAATTCGACCAGAGAAAATGCTGAAATAGAAGTTACAGATGCATGGGATTTGCTGAATGAAATATAAGCAGTTAATTTTTGTAACGTGGGCGAAAGCCAAAATTGCCAAGTTACATGTGTAAATCACTGCGTTATTGCTTTAGTCATTGCCTCTATTTAGCAATGACAAGACTGGAAGAAGTAAACAGAGAAGTGAACATGCATTCTTCAGTGCGTTATCTTGGCTATTTAGCCAGAATCAATTTACTGGTTGCTATATGTTTAGGTCTTTATGTAAGATGGGAAAAAACAGCAAATAACTTACTTTTGGTAATTTTTATTCTTGGTCTTTTTGTTCTTGGAATTGCCAGCATCCTCTATTATTATTTTTCAATGGAAGTAGCAAGTTTAAGTCTCTCCAATCTTTGGTTTGGATTCTTGCTTGGCCTCCTATGCTTTCTTGATAATTCATTCTTTAAAAATGATGTGAAAGAAGAATCAACCAAATATTTGCTTCTAACTTCTATAATATTAAGGATATTATGTGCTTTGGTGGAGAGAATTTCTGGTTATGTCCACCATCGGCCCACTTTACTAACCACAGTTGAATTTCTGGAACTTGTTGGATTTGCCATTGCCAGCACAATTATGTTGGTGGAAAAATCTCTCAGTGTCATTTTACTGGTTGTAGCTTTGGCCATGCTGATTATTGACCTAAGAATGAAGTCTTTTCTAGCTATTTTAAACTTAGTTATTTTTGTAGTCTTATTATTTTTCTCCTCATTGGATACTCCCCAAAATCCAGTTGCTTTTGCATGTTTTTTTATTTGCCTGATAACTGATCCTTTCCTTGACATTTATTTTAGTGGACTTTCAGTGACTGAGAGGTGGAAACCCTTTTTGTACCGTGGAAGAATTTGCAGAAGACTTTCAGTTGTTTTCACTGGAATGATTGAACTTACATTTTTTATTCTTTCAGCATTTAAACTTAGAGACACTCATCTCTGGTATTTTGTAATACCAGGTTTTTCCATTTTTGGAATTTTCTGGTTGTTTTGTCATATTATATTTCTTTTAACTCTTTGGGGATTTCATACCAAATTAAATGACTGCCATAAAGTATATTTTACCCACAGAGTAGATAACAACAGCCTTGATAGAATCATGGCATCCAAAGGGATGCGCCATTTTTGCTTAATTTCAGAGCAGTTAGTTTTTTTTAGTCTTCTTGCAACAGCTGTTTTGGGAGCAGTTTCCTGGCAGGTAAGCTTATAGTTTGTTTATTATGTCAGTGCCTGTGATGTGTGATTAAATGTTTGCTTCAAGTGTTGAATTATTAGAATTGAAAGGTCAAGTTCCTGATTTCAAAAGGAGATTCTTTTTTATGGCACTTAATCAATTTTGTTCATGGAATTGAAGTACTAAATGAACATTGATAGGATAATTTAGTTTGATCTCTAGCAAAGAGGCACCAAAATGTTAGGCATACTCAACATGTGACATGCCTCTCACCTTTGCTTGTTCATTAATGAATGAAGTATTCAAAGATTAAATATTTTTTAGAATATTAACATTTGAAAGGTGTTTAGAGATTGTACCTTAATTCTTTCATTAAAAATTATGTGTGTGTGTGTGTGTGTGTGTACGTACGTATGTATAATATTGATTTCAGAGAGGAAGGGAGAGGGAGAGAGAGATAGAAACATCAGTGATGAAACAGAATCAATTGATTGGCTGCCTCCTGCACGCCCTTTATGGGGGATAGAGCCCAAAACCAGGGCATGTACCCTGACCAGGAATCGAACTGTAACCTCCTGGTTCATAGATCGACACTCAACCACTGAGCCACACTGGCCTGACAGTTCTTTCTTTTTTATACATGAGGAAACTGAAAGCCAGAGAAGACTTTTATCCAGAGTCACTGGTAATAGCCAAAACCAGTTTACATAGCTTCTATGTAGTCTACTGGTCTCACTACAGCACATTTCTTTTACATAGCCATTTCTCTTAAGATTTTATATAAAAGGTGGTGTAATGACATATCAGGTACTTAAATACAAATTAAAGGCTCTCCTAAGAAAGAAAGAAAAAAGGTTTTACAATACATTTCCTGTCGCCCTAGCCATGGATAGAGTGTTGGCCTGGGAACTGAAGGGTCCCAGGTTCAATTCCAGTCGAGGGCACATGCCAGGGTTACGGTCTCAATCCTCAGTAGGGGGCCTGCAGGAGGCAGCTGATCCATGATTCTCATCATTGATGTTTCTATCTCACTCTTCCTCTCTCCCTCTCCCTTACTCTCTGAAATCAATAAAAAGATATATATATATACTTAAAAAATAACTCAATATATTTGCTGTCCACAGAATGTTACCAAAGACATTTAAACTGTGTGGTCGGAGTTTATATCTACAGTATTAATAAATCCAGTCTTCCATTCATAGAACATTTATTGAATGAGCTATATGTCATGTACTATACTGTGTGACCTCAAGATGACTAAGAAATGCCTCTGTTCTTAAAGAAGACACAGTCTCTAATAGGATGGGGAATAGACAGGCACGTAAACAAACAATTATTACAGTGACAAATGCTCAGGTTGGGATGTAGGGCATAAAGGAAGGTTATTTCTGCTTTGCACTAGTTAGTTGCTACAGAATGATTTCTAGATTTGAATATTTGAAGGGAGATGTGGAGATTTATCTGGGTATGGTGCTTTTTAGTCACTGTAGGCTAGATAAGGGAGCCTGTGGGATTCAACCAAATGATGTAAACGTTGTGGGCGTTGCCCCTATTATATCTTCCTCACTTTACTTGCCAAATGCTAGGGACTATCATGATGATGATAGTGCTAGGGACTATCAGGATGGTGATGGTGATGGTGGTGGTGGTAGTTATGATGGAGGATAATGTGGGAAACTAGCAAGAGTTCTCCTACCTCTTCCTCCCTTCTCAAAGAGTTTACTACCTATGTTTTCTTCTAGGAGTTTAATGGTTTCACATATTACCTTTAAGTCTTTATTTTGAGTTCATTTTTGTACATAGTATAAGAAATGGTCCAGCTTTTTTTTTACATGAATCTATCTGTACAGTTTCGCCAACACCATTTATTCAAGAGACTGTCTTTTCCCAACTGTATAATGCTGCCTTTTGTGTTGTAGTAATTTACCTATAAGTGTGAGTTAATTTCTGGGCTTTCTATTTTGTTTCATTGTGCCAGTAGCATACTGTTCTGAAGTCAGCTTGAAATCAGGAGAGTGATACCTCCAATTATGTCCTTTATCAGGATTGCTTTTGTGGTTCCATTTAAATTTTAAGGTTATTTGTTCATTGAATCTGTAGATTGCTGGGTAATAAGGATGTTTGAATGATATTAATTCTTCCATTCCACGAGCATGGTATATTCTACCATTTGTGTTGTCTTCATTTTCTTTCTTCAGCATCTTACAGTTTTCAGAGTCTAGGTCTTTTGCCTTCTTAGTTAAATTTATTCCTAGGCTTTTTTTTTTTTTTAATGCAATTGTAAAGGGATTTGTTTTCTTAATTTTTCTTTCTATACATTATGGATGTATAGAAATGCCACTGATATCTGTATATTAATGTTGTATGCTGCAACTTTACTGAATTTATTTACTGAGATAGTTTTTTGGTGGACACTTTGGGTTTTCTACATAAATCATGTCATCTGTGAATAGTGACCGTTTTACCTCTTCCTTTCCACTTTGAGTGTCTTTTATTTTACTTTCTTGTCTGATTGCTGTGGCTAGGAATTTCAGTAGTATGTTGAACAAAAGTGATATGAATAGGCATTCTTATCTATGATCTTTATTATGTTGAGATATGTTCCCTCCATTTCCATTTTGTTGAGAGTTTTAATCATAAATAGATGTTGAATGTTGTCAAATGTGTTTTTTTTGCATGTTAAAATAATCATGATTTTTGTCCTTTTTTTGTTAATGTATTGTTGTATTACATTGGTTAGTATGCAGATATGATTTGCATGCAGCTATTGAACCATTCTCACATTTCTGGAATAAATCCCATTTGATCATAGTGTATGATCCTTTTAATATGTTGTTGAATTTGATTTGCTAATGTGTGAGAATGTTTATATCTATGTTCATCAGGGATATTGGCCTGTAATATATTTTGTAGTCTTTGTCTTGTGTTGATATCAGGGTAATGCTGTCTTCATAGAATGAGTTTGGAAGTATTCCTTCCTCTTTAATTATCTAGAATGTTTCAAGAAGGGTAGGTATTAATTTTCTTTAAATACTTGCTATAATTCTCCTGTGAAGCTATCTGGTCCTGGACTTTGGTTTGTTGGACGTTTTTTGATTACTGATTCAATTTTGTTACTACTAATTGGTCTGCTCAGATTTTTGTTTCTTCCTGAGTCAGACTTGGAAAATTGTATGTTTCTTGTAATTTATCTGTTTCTTCTATTTATTGGTGTATAGTTCATAGTAGTCACTTATGATCCTTTATATTTCTGGTTTTGAGTTGTAATTTCTGATTTTATTTTGTTCCTTTTATTTTGATGAGTCTAGCTAAAGTTTTATAAATTTTATCTTTATTTAAAACTACAAACTCTTAGTTTCATTGATCTTTTCTATTAATTTTTACTATTTTATTTATTTCCACTCTGATCTTTTTTTAATTTTCTTCCTTCTACTAACTTTGGGCTGTGTTTGTTCTTTTTCTAATTACTGTTGGTATAAGGTAAGACTATTTATTTGAGATATATTTTGTTTCTTCGGGTAGACTTGAATTGCTATGAATTTCCCTCTCAGAACTGCTTTTTCTGTGTTCCGTAGATTTTGGGTCATTGTGTTTCCATTTTCATTTATCTGAAGATATTTTTTTAAATTTCCTCCTTAACTCGTTGATTATTTATGAGCAAGTTGTTTAGCCTTTACGTGTTTGTTATTTTCAGTTTTTTTAAGTAATTGGTTTCTAGTTTAATACCATTTGGTCAAAAAAGATGCTTTAAAATAATTTTTTTTCGATTGCAGTTGACTTACAATATGATATTAGTTTCAGGTGAACAACATAGTGATTAGACATTTATATAATTTATGAAGTAATCAACCCAATAAATCTGACACCATATACAGTATTATTGACTATATTTCCTATGCTGTACTTTACATCCCCATGACTGTTCTGTATCTACCAATTTCTACTTCTTAATTCCTTCACATTTTTTACCTAGCTCCCTAACCCCCTGCTCCTTCTGACAACCATCAGTTTATTCTATGTATCTATGAGTCTGTTTCTATTCTGCTTGTTCATTTATTTTGTTTATATATATTCCACATATAAATGAAATCATCTAGCATTTGTTTTTCTCTGTTTGATGTATTTCACTTAGTATAATATTGTTTAGGTCTATCCATGTTGTTGTAGATGGCAGGATTTCATTCTTTTTTATGTGTAAGTTATATTCCATTGTATGTGTGCATCACTTCTTTATCCATTCATCTAACGATGGGCACTTAGGTTGCTTCCATATCATAGCTATTGTAAATAATGCTGCAGTGAACATATGGGTGCATATGACTTTTTAATTTAGTGTCTTGGGTTTCTTCAGATAAATACCAAAATTGAAATTGCTGGGTCATTCTTTCTCTCTTGTTATAGCCTGTGTTTTGGTCTGGTATAAGTATGCTTTTTTGTTTGTTTCAATTTCCATGAAATATCTTTTCCATCTTTTTACTTTCAGTCTGTTTTTCTTCTGATCTGAAAGTAAGTCTCTTGTAGACAGCATATATAAAGGTCTTGTTTTGTTATTTGTTCAGCTACTATATGTCTTTTGATTGGAGCATTTAATCCTTTTGTTCTTTGCCGTGTACACCTCTCTTGTCTAGATAGCATTGAGTTTCATCTTGAGCATAAACACCTTTAATTTTTGAAAAATTGAATTTATTGGGGTGACATTGGTTAATCAGAGTATATAGGTTTAAAGTGTACATTTCTGTGATACATGATCTGTATATTGCTTTGTGTTTCCACTACCCTGAGTCAAATCATCTTCCGTCACCACATACTTGACCTCTTCACCCTTTACTTTTCCCTAACTCCCTTTCCTCTGGTAATCACCATACTGTTGTCTTTGTTTATAAGTTTTTTGTTTGGTTGGATTTTTTTGTTTGTTGCTTTCAGTTTTTATCCCACATGTAAATGAAGTCATATGGTTCTTAACTTTTTCTGTCTGACTTATTTCACTTAGCATGATATTCTCAAGGTTCATCAATTTTGTGTCAAATGGCAGTATTTCGTCTTTTCTTATGGCTGAGTAGTATTCCACTGTATGTATGTACCACATCTTCTTTATCCAATCATCTAGCAAAGTACACTTCATTGTTTCCATGTCTTGGCCACTGTGAACAATGCTGCAGTGAAACATAGGAGTGCATGTATCTTTTTCGAATAAATGTTTTCAGATGTTTTGAAAGAGGACTCACTGGATCATATTCTTAATTTTTTGAGGAACTGCCATACTGTTTTTCATATTAGCGCTACCGCTTTACATTCCCATTAGCAATTTTTTTACCACAACTCTCCAGTACTTGTTATTACTTGTCTTGTTGATAATAGCCATTCTAATAGGTAAACACCTTCAATTTTAAGAAGAGCTGTGTGCTCCCTCTGGTTCCACAGACCCTGCTGATGCCAGCATAAATGGCCTTGGACCACAGCCTTTCAGACATTTGTTGTTGTAAAAGTCCTGTTCACAGCAGGCCTCCACATGACCCACGATGGCAGAAAGAGCCCAACACCATTTTATTGTGTAGTCTGTCCATACCCCATTGAATGTTCTTGCCTCCTTTGTCATATATTAATTGACCATATGCATGTGGGATTATTTCTGGGCTCTCTGTTCTGTTTCATTGATCTATGTGCCAGTTTTTATGCTAGTACCATGCTGTTTTGATTACTATAGCTTTGTATTACAGTTTGATATCAGGTAGCATGATATTTACAACTTTGTTATTCTTTTTCAAGGTTGTGTGACTATTTTGTGTCCTTTATGGTTGCATACACATTTTTGGATTATTTGTTCTAGTTCTGCCTCCACCGAAATCTTGAATCCCTCAAAGTTACTCGTGAGGGTTATAATCAACCTCTTTCAATTCTTATTAATGTTGATATTTGACCTCTTCCCATGAATTTTCTTAATGGCATCTAGAATGGTGAATCCTTTTCAGAAGGTTTTCAATTTACTTTGCCTCAATCCATCTGAGGATTCGCTATCTATAGCAGCTATATAGCCTTAGAATAATAACAGTTGAAAGCCAGAATGACTTCTTGGTCCATGGGCTGCAGAATAGATGTTGTGTTAGCAGGCATGAAAGCAACATTAATCTCATTGTACACCTCCCTCAGAGCTCTTGGGTGACCAGTTGCATGCCAGTGAGCAGTGATGTTTTGAAAGGAATGTTTTTTTAGCTGAGCAATAGGTCTGTCATCCAGGCTTTCTTGTTCCAACTACGGAGCACAGGCAAGGTAGATTTAGCACAATTCTTAAAGGCCTTAGGATTTGGGAGGGAGAGGTGGTGGAAACTGAGCATTGACTTCCACTTAAAATCAGCCCTAACAAGAGAGTCGGCCTGTTCTTTGAAGCCAGGAATTGACTTCTCTCTGGCTATGAAGTCCTGAATGGCATCTTCCAATAAAAGGTTGTTTCTTCTACATTGAAAATCTGCTGATTAGTGAAGCCACCTTCATTAATTATCTTAGCTTGATTTTCTGGATAACTTTCTGCAGCTTCTACATTGGCACTTGTTGCTTCACCTTACACTTTGATGTTATGGAGATGGCTTCTTAAATCCTATGAACCAACCTCTGCTAGCTTCAAACTTTCTGCAGCTTCTTCACCTCTCAGCCTTCATTAAATTGAGGAAATAGGGCCTTCCTCTGGATTGGGCTGGCACAAAAGGCCTAGCTCTTGGCCTGTCACAGCTTTTGACATACCTTCCTCACTAAGCATAATATTTTCTAGCTTTTGATTTAAAGTGAGAGACATGGAACTCTTTTCTTCACTTGAACACTTGCAATTATTAATTGAGCTAATTTTAAAATTGTTGTATCTCAGGAAATAGGAGGCCCCAGGAGAGGGAGAGAGATGGGGGAACAATCAGAACACATATGACATTTATTGATTAAGTTCACCCTCTTATATGGGTATAGTTTGTGGCAACCTGAAACAAGTACAACAGTAACATCAAAGATCATTTATCATAGATCACAATAGCAAATATAATAATAATGAAAAAGTTTGAAATATTGTGAATTACGTAAATGTGACACAGAAGCATGAAGCGAGCAAATGCTGTTGGAAAAAATGGCACTGAGACTCTCTCCCTCCCAGGAGCATGCCCATGTCTTTCTTCCCTCTCAGGTGTGCATCTCCCATACTCTTAAGAGTCCCCACGAGACTTACAACCAGGACAGCAATGTGCAGCGACAGCTTGTCCCAGGCTAACCCCATGATCCTGTCTCCAAGACCCTCTTTTCTCTGACTTCCCCGTGAGCCAAAGCGCCCCATGTAGCTCATTTCTTTCCTATAACATCTATATAGAGCCAAATCAGCCCCGCCCAGGCTCTCTTCTGTTGCCTCTTCTAACCTAAGCCCTTCCTTTTCCACACTGTCCCAGCTTTAATAAACATCCTCTCAAATTAAAAAAAAAAAATGGCACCGATAGACTTACTCAAATGTAATGTTGCCACAAACCTTCAGTTTGTAAAAAAAAACAACTCAGTATCTGTGCAGCACAATAAATTATGTTATGCCTGTATTTACAATACAACCAACAAAAGACTCTTATCTAAAATATGTTGAGAGCAAAACAAACTTGTAAATCAATAATTAAAAGGTGGCCCCATGGAAAAGTAGGCAAAGTATTTAGCACTTCACTAAATATGAAACCCAAATGATCAAAGGTATTTAATATAATTAATCAGAGAACTAAATACTTATTCTAGTTTTGTTAAGCATAATGGAAAATTAATAGGAACCTAAATGCCAATAATAGCTACTCAACTAATTAACATTTCATCAGGTGATAGGAATGCCATTTGGTCTTCACAAATATTTTTAGAGCTATGTTAATAGACTTACAATATATTACAAAGTTTACAGAACATTATCAGTCCCACTTTGATTAAAAAATATATATAAATATATATTTGTAAACATAAATTGCATGAAGGTTGGAAATATTTTTAAAAGTACCTGTGTATGGATGATGGTACTTGGAGTAATTTTAATGACATGTCTTTTTTACTTATTTGTATTATTTTATTTTATCAGAGAACATTTGTTTGGAAAATCACAGATAGAAGAAGTAATTCGTAGAATAAATGGGCTTAGGAAACAAGTTATAGAGGTCAAGGAAGGGCCCTTGGAGCTTAGAAACGAGGAAGGTAAAGGTGACGCTCCTGAGGGGATAGGGAAAGGTGCCAGCAAGCTCCTGGGAGGGAGAACGCCAATATTTGTATTTTTTAATGTTTCTAAATTAGGCATGTACTGTGTAATTTATGTATTTGATAACAGAGTGTATCAGATGTAAGGCATTTTATGCATTATGGGAATCAGCGTCCTATTTTTTTATTAAATTCTGATGAAATGAACTACCTTCTAGTATTAGAAAAATGTGTTCTTGCACATAGGCCCATGATTGTGTAGTATGTGCAGTAACAACACAGAATGTAGACTAGTATCAGTATTGCAAAGATATAGATCAGGACTGAGTGTCATCCTTCCATTTTCTTTTCACTTAAAACGGTCCTTTAATTATTTTCTTTTCCATTATTGCAGTTACTACCTAATCTTGTCTCCCCCTTTTAATATTATCTTATGCCTCCTTTTTCTATTCTTTTTGGATGCTTAAATGTCCTTTATTTACTTTTTTTTTTTTACAATTTTAAATTTAGTCTATAGAGAGTCTAAAGCTTTTCAAAGGAAGACTATATTATAAGTTTAATTAAATATAAGAATGGAATTCACTTTGATAGTTTCAGGATCTTAATTTTTCTTTAAGATTTTATTTTCTTAATTTCTGCATTTTTCGCAGGATAAAAAAAAATTTTCTAAAGTATCTTTTCTGAAAAAGTAAATATTTGAAAAGTGATTCAGGACATATGGGTTTTATTTTTATATATATATAAAATGGCAAATTTTTAAAAATTGATTTTAGAGAGGAAGTGTGAGGGAGAGATAGAAACATCACTGATGAGAGAGAATCATTGATCAGCTGTCTTCTGCACACCCCCTACTGGGGATCAAGCTTGGAACCCCAGGCATGTGTCTAACAGGGAATGAAACTGTGACCTGGTTTATAGTCTATGCTCAGCCACGGAGCCACACAAGCCTTGCTGGGATATGGGTTTTAACAGCAAAGGATTTGTTTTCTGTTTTTTTTCTAATTTATATCAAGAGTGGTTGTGTTTTTATTTTGTTTTTGTATTTTTACTTTGAGTGGGATGTTATCTGACAAATTCAAAAATATATGTGCTGTATTTGTTTTGCCAGGACTTCAACAACCTTAGAGATAAATTTAGGGTTCATTGCTTATCCATATATTCTTGTCTGCTTCAACTTAGAATTGTTTTTAGATAATTATCCTTTTAATTATTTTTGGAAGTGGTGCCAAAAGTGTAAGTAAATATGCATAGATGTATGTAAATATATATACATATGCACACATAAGTGCATTCACACTGTGTAAATTTGATGTATTAAATTTCTTTTAGCCAACAAATGGAATCTTCTTGAGCATGTTTCTAATTGTTTTGCCATTGGAATCCATGGCTCATGGGCTCTTCCATGAATTGGGTAATTGTTTAGGAGGAACATCTGTTGGATATGCTATTGTGATTCCTACCAACTTCTGCAGGTATAGTAATCTAGAATGTAGTAATTAGTAATAACTACTTGACTCTTAATATTTTCTTAATATTTGTATGACGATAAATATAAAATATAGCACATTTTTAAAAAACTATAGTATTTTAAAAATATACTACTGTTACATTTTTTATTTATCCCAAATGTTTAAAAGCCTTTACTCTCAGTAAAATTATAAATTTCAGGGTTCAATTTATTTTATTTCTTTATAAAAGTGATTAGGTCAGTGGTTCTCAACCTTCCTAATGCCGCGACCTTTTAAGACAGTTTCTCATGTTGTGGTGACCCCCAACTATAAAATTATTTTCGTAGCTACTTCATAACTGTAATTTTGCTACTGTTATGAATCTTAAAGTAATTATATATGTGTTTTCCGATGGTCTTTGCGACCCCTGTGAAAGGGTCGTTCGACCCCCAAAGGGGTCGCGACCCACCAGTTGAGAACCGCTGGACTAGGTTATATTTTAGCTAGAAATCGGGAAGTATGAATGAATTTTCTAAGGAATCATAATATTTTCTTTAAGAAAATGTCCTGTGAAACAGCATGGTAAAATATAATGGAATGTACACTAGACCTGAGAGTCCTAAATCCTAGTTCTGTATTTCCTTAGGGAAATCATAACTTCTCTGAACTTCAGTGTCTTTATCTACATGCAGATGACAATACCTATTCTGCCCATCTCAGAGGAATATTATGAAGAGCTAGTGAGAATATAAAAATGCTCTGCCCACTGGAGAATGTCATACAAATACGAGGAATTCAAAAGATTGTCAATGTGTGTGTGTGTGTGTGTGTGTGTATATAAATGTGTGTATATGTATACATGCAAATATATTTTTGTATGTATATAAATATGTGTAAGTTAATATAGTTTTATTTCAAAAATTTTTATCCCAAATATATGGTAGATCTGTCTGAATCTATAAATATTGCCACATTTTAATTTTTATTTAATTAAGTACCTTTGAAATAGAAAAAATGAGTTCTTTGCCATTAATTAATTCTGATGAACAAGAATTCATCATACTTTTCCTTGGGGTGAAAAATTTATCTAATTTCAAATATTTGACATAAAAACCCCAAATATTCTATTTGTATTATATATTTTCCTCCATGTTAAAGGTTTTTGTTTTGTTTTTAATATATTTTATTGATTTTTTACAGAGAGGAAGGGAGAGGGATAGAGAGTTAGAAACATCGATGAGAGAGAAGCATCGATCAGCTGCCTCCTATACAACCCCTACTGGGGATGTGCCTGCAACCAAGGTACATGCCCTTGACCGGAATCGAACCTGGGACCCTTCAGTCCCCAGGCCGACACTCTATCCAGTGAGCCAAACCAGCTAGGGCTAAAGGTTTAATAAAAAGTTGAAAATTCTCATTAGAAGTAAAATAAAGTAAGATGTGACAACTTGCAGAAGGAATATGTGGGAAGAGTAATTTGCATGGTTAGATTTTTAAAAAAATATATTTTATTGATTTTTTACAGACAGAAAGAGAGAGGGATAGAGAGTTAGAAACATCGATGAGAGAGAAACATCGATCAGCTGCCTCCTGCACACCCCCTACTGGGAATGTGCCCACAACCAAGGTACATTCCCTTGACTGGAATCGAACCTGGGACCCTTCAGTCCGCAGGCCGATGCTCTATCCACTGAGCCAAACCGGTTAGGGCACATGGTTAGATTTTTATTCCATTATAATTTTTGTTTATACATTTCTTCTTTTACTTTTTTATGATCATTAAATCGTTACCTAAATAAGTATGGAACAAAATGTTTTATTCTTGTAATGAAAACTAAAGTATTTGAAAGCTATTGATAATACATGAAGCAAAATGTAAAGTTTTCAAAATTCCTGGTTGAAATTCCTTTCCTAGATAGGATTAATGATTTTCCCTCTCTCAATATTGATAGTATTTTGATTCTGCTAGTTGTAGGATTTGGTTTATCATCTTTACTAGAGTGTCATTTTACAATTGTTCCAGGAACAGATCTAGGTCTTCAATTAGTATTTAGTAGGATATGGCAGTTTGACTAAATTTTAATGATTATTTTTAAATGCCATTTACTAATAGGCAATTTCTTCTATAATTTATTACCTTAGGTTAGTAAAACTTGAACACCACTTTATAAACTCCTTTTCAATATAGGAATTAAATAAGTATATAATTAAAAATATTGCTTTCATACTTTATTTTTTTTCTCAAGAAAGAAAAGTTTTTATTATAGTCCCCACCCATGTTCTTGAAATACATTGGGGGTAAAGTTAGTATAATTTTGCTTTTAAAATGTCTTGTCCATTACCAATCATTTGGTGAGAAAATATAAATAAGAACAAATAGTGTAGTGCTGTCTACATGTGGAGGTATATTATTATCCCACCTTTTAGTTTTGTTATTGTTTATTGATAAGAAATAAAATTTTTAGAAACTAGGCTTTGATTTTCAAAGCTTAATTCTTAGCACCAGGAATTTTAGAAAAGGTGATTTTTTTTAAAATCCTGCCATTTAGTTATCAGAAACTATCATGCTTCTTAGATAATTACTTATAAGTGAAGGATAAAAATATGATATAGAATGAATGTTTCTTAAACACTGAAATAATCTTTTTTTTCCTTCTCAGTCCTGATGGCCAGCCAGCACTTCTTCCACCAGAACATGTGCAGGAGTTAAATTTGCGGTCCACTGGCATGCTCAATGCTATCCAAAGATTTTTTGCACATCATATGATTGAGACCTATGGGTGTGACTATTCCACAAGTGGACTGTCTTTTGATACTCTACATTCCAAACTGAAAGCTTTTCTTGAACTTCGGACTGTGGATGGACCTAGACACGATACATATGTTTTGTATTACAGTGGGCACACCCATGGTACAGGAGAGTGGGCTCTTGCAGGTAAAGTCACCTCTGGAACTTTCACTGTTACGAAAATGCACCTGGTGTAGAAATTTGTCCTTCATAGGGAAACGTTACATTTTCAGAATTTTCTGTTTTCTACTTTACAGCTTACCAAGTGTATATATAACTTTTTTCTTTTGTCTAGCATACCTATATAGCATAATTTTATTTTATATTTTTTTATTGATTTTTTACAGAGAGGAAGGGAGAGGGACAGAGAGTTAGAAACATCGATGAGAGAGAAACATCGATCAGCTGCCTCCTGCACACTCCCTACTGGGGATGTGCCCACAACCAAGGTACATGCCCTTGACCGGAATCGAACCTGGGACCCTTGAGTCCGCAGGC